TATCTGGATCATTGAATTCCAAACCTGAATATTGTGGAAATCCAGTTATGCCAAGTGGTTTCCCTTTTCTTCCAAACTCTTTTGTATGTTTTTTGGGTGGGAAGGGTACTTAAATTCAGTGTTCCCAACTACTCTTGAGGCTGCAGAGCAAACTTGCTAAGTTAAAAGTAAACTTTATCCTTAAAAAGACATTCTTTAGTTAAAAGAATTTACCATTTGTGCTTTACTTAGTAATACCATATCCCATTTCCTCATTTTAAAACCCCCTTCCCACAACACCACTTAGGAAATTTTTTTTAAAATATATTTTTTTAAACTTTGAATATCTCATTGTCTAATTCTATGCATTTGTAAATTAGCAATAATATGGTATCTTCCCACAGGCCCCTCCAGTCATTCCCACAAACTAACTTAACTTGTAAAAGATGATCCTTGGTCCTACAGGATTCAGTCTGCAAAAAAAGCAATTTTTCTGCAAGCTGAGTTCAGAGTCAGTCTGTGAGATGGAATGGCTATGCCATGTGCTGGAACAAAAGATAATGCTATAAGAACTGGCTACTTTCTGGACTCTCAAGGCTGCTAAATGTCCTAACTTAGTCCTTTGATCTCTCTTGGGAGTCTTCGAATTCAAGCAGAGGCCAATGTCTTCCTCAGCTGTCTTCTCCACAAATTCTTCCAACAGCTCTGGCAGGTACTAATGTGTTTACTTAGGTGTGCCCCGGGGTTCTCAGAGCTAATAGCAGTTTGAAATTGCTTAGCATATTGTGAAGTCATCTATGATAACCAAAAATCCCAAGAACTCCCTTTTTCCAGGAGTTAATAGGGTCTGCTGATAGGGGCAGAAGTGAATTGAAATGGATTAATCTTTCCACATGTAATCTTTCTATGTATATTTAGTTTGTCCCACCACGAGAAGTATGATGAATTTTCAGTAATACAGAATTCCTACAGTGGGCAAATTTTACTAGGAAAAAAGTGATGGACATCATTTTGATGGTGTGGTCTGTCCATCGACAATAGTTCTTATTTTATTTATTTGTTAACATAGGTTCTACTAAAATCAAAAGTTGACAGTTTCTTAGAGGTAATCTTAGAGGTCACTGCAATTATAGCCTGTTTACAAAAGCCTGAGTCTTTAGAAAACTAAACGTGTATTTGTTTTTGTTCAGAATCTGAAATTCAAAATTGCAAATACACGAATTATCCATCTGTCTCACTAGCATCTTGGTAGGCATTCATTTTCAACTCTGGGTGGCTGGGTGCAGTGTGGCTGAGCTTTCTTTCCCACATCTGTTTACTGGGAGGCTTCCCTAGCAGACAGTGTTGGGATATTATTTCTAAAAACCTGTTTACATATTAAATAAATGTGAGTTTTCCCTGCTTATAAGAAGTTCACTTCTCTGGAGATATAATGGAAAGCAGCTTATCTTTTCATTTCTTCCATGACATACAAAATCTAATGAAGTTTTATTTGGGGGTAGAAGAGGACACATTGACAGCTAAGTTGTCTTTTTAAAAGCAGATCTGAACTTTTCCTATGCTTCCCGTTCAATTTCTCCACTAAATTTTTGTCCTCTATATGCTTATCCAGTTCCTCATTACCTCTCCCTCCCTCTTTCTTCCCCTCCTTCCCTCCCTAGCTTCTGAGAAAAAAAAAAACCCAGCCAACTTCCCCTGAATCAGGGATCCCCAGTCATCTTTGGGGTGCGGGTTTCCTTCCTTCCTTGCATACTGCCTCCCAGTTTTTGATCTCACTCTTCTCTCACCTCTGATAGTGGTTTAAAAGTTTTGCCTCCATTTTTTCTTCCGTGCTCTGAGATCCTATTTTCAGCACTTGAGTCCCAAGGGCCCTCAACCCAGGACCCTGTTCCCCCCTGGCAGGTCTCATTAAGCCTCCGGGCACTCGTGTTTTCTTGGCTTCTTTAGTTCCACTCGCCCGCAGCACTCTGGTAAATTTGTTTTGAGATCACCTTACCAAAGACAGCCTAACCTCTGAGAACTATCCTTACTGACAGAGGCTCCTGAGTGACAGCGTCTTCCCTGGGCACAGAAGCCAGGGCAAGATGTCCAGCATCCAGCATTTGTGAGTCTCTGCTCTAGTGCTGAGGAAGCACACCCAGCTGGAATTGATTGAAGAAAACAAACAAACTCACCTCTAACAGCACGATCTCTAAGGACACCCTGCCTTGTTTCCAATAAGTGTGACCTGGGGCAAATTATCTTATACGTCCAGTTTGCTTTACCTTCTTTTGAAAAATCGGTCTGATTATAGCTCTGACAGAGTTCTCGGGAGTACTAATTGAGTAAATATATGGAATGGGTTAAGAAGAGTTGCTCCGCAAGAAGAAAATTCTCAATAATTGTTAGCTACACATACCCCATGCTGTGGGGACTGGGTACAAAGCATGTTAAGTGCTTTCAGAAATTAGCTGAAAGGCAGGCAGAAGTGTAACTTCTATCTTCCACTTCAACTTTCAAGACCAAGTTTTTTTGGGGGGCGGGGAGGAGCGAGGATTGAATTCAGGGGCACTCAACCACTGAGCCACATCCCCAGCCCTATTTTTTGTATTTTATTTAGAGATTTTTTGTATTTTTTTTTTTAGAGAT